GAGTCCCAGCACTTTTTATTTAATTTCTCTTATTATCAATTTTATTGAAATTGATGAAGCATTGTATAAGATATTACATTCTATTTTCTCCTATTATCTCAGCAAATATTTCCCTTAATTGCCAGTCTGGATTTTGCAAACTATATATACATGAGAAAAACTTTAATATTTTTAAATGCAACATATAAATTATAAAATGAATATTGACTTTTAAAATGGAAGAAATATTATTATACCTAAGCATATTTCATTTTCTTTATGCACTTTATTGAGATCTATTGAAATTGTGAACAACATAAATTTTGGAAATAGTATATTAGGGTACATTAACTCACATTTTTATTTTTCAATTTAAAGTGTTAGAAAATAACTATTATTAAGTAATAATTGGTGAAGGCAACTTGGGAAAATAAAAAGTAATTTAACATATATTAATTTAAATATTTCTATACTCACCAACAACTAATATTAATATTCCAATTCTGATGTTGCAGGATGGATTTTGTAGGGAATTATAATATTGTGTTGTATATATGAATAAAGTGCGCTCTATATTTTCATCAAAGTTAATATGATATCTGTTGACTAAACTTGTTAGTAAAATTCATTGCCAGATAACAATATACATGGGCTTTTATTCTTCAAATAATATTTTTATTCATATTTTAAATTATACTCTGTGCATTCACTCACATATATATGTACACTGAATTACACAAAACTGCATGCTTTTCTGGACCTACAGATTGCTGAATAGCACAATTTGTTGAGTGAATAGGCTCTATCTGGCTAATACATGAATATAAGGTCATTAATGAGGAGAGAAAAATATGCTAGGAACACAATATTAGCCTATCTACTTAGAACACTTGAGTATGTCCATATGACATATTCTTTGTGATCATTCTGTTAAAATGAACCCCTTGAAAATGCAATCCGGTCTGATTGCAACACAACCAGCTAGCGGTATATGAAGAATAAAATAGTAAGATTGATCTCACACAAAAACAAAAGCACAGACACAAAATCATAACTGGAAAGGCCCGTGGATTTAGCTTAGTGGTTTTGCTGCCTGCTGC